TTAGTGGAGAAGCACGAAGGGTTGATACAAATGTTACTCAAGACTGGATTAATAGATTGTGGTCAAAATTGACAGAAAAATACGCCCCAAGTGACATTTTTAATGCTGATAATGCAGAGATTAAACTCTGAAATTTAAAGGGGAAAAGTGTGTGGGAGGAAAGCTCTCCAAGGAGCATATTACAGTGCTTGTGGCTGCTAATATGGATGGTACAGAAAAAAAAGCTGATGGTAATAGACAAATCGAAAAATCCGCGGTATTTAAGAACACAAAAAATTGCCAGTGACGTATACAGCTATTAAATCAGCTTGGATGACCAGTCAACTTTTTGAAGAAGAATTTGCGAAGTGGGATGCAGAATTAAAGGGACGAAAAATTTTACTTCTTTTTACAAATGCCTTGCCCACCCTCTTATATGAAACCTTCAAAACATAGAGTTAGCATTTCTTCCTCCTAATACGACTAGTGTCTTGTTGCCAATAAATAATCCATGACTCCTACTAACAACAATCTACATGTGCAAGCAATCCCAATTTGTAAACTAAACAACGGATTTCTTAGAGAGTTTGGTATGTATGATGCCGACTGTTCGCGCAAAACACTGTTGTCGGATTCGACATCAGATGTCACTCGGCTCGGCGCGATTCCGGTTTGAAGTTCGGCTGGGCGTGGCACGAGCGCGCGAGTCGAGAGCGAAAAGGTCAGTCGTCCATAAGCGGTGCTAACGATTGGCACGCTGTATTCTGTTAGGGAACTCGGAATAATTCGGCGCCAGTAAATATACGGTCTATCATTGTGACGCGCATTCCTGCTGGAGAGCTTCCCAGGGACTCATTGTGTTTGACTCAGAATCTGCATAAGTGCATTAAGCAATATTAGCTAGTGCGGCCTCTAATATTCTAGAATTAACTGTTGCGACGCGAAACGGTAGTGACCTTTAATAAACTGTAAACTCCGTGTGCGTTTTGTGTGTTAACCTTATAACCAGCGATAGTTAGTGGCTTCTGTAAGTTAGTAAATCGTACGATAGAGTTAATTGACTGTCAACGTGACGAAATAAGAAAGTGACTGTGGATAACCTCGAAAGGCCCCCTCAAGTTGGAGCGGTGTCGACGCTCGGGCTGCTGCCGACGGCCAAGGTCTAGGTTCAATCACCATCAGTCACACCCAGATACACACCACATCACCATTCTTTCCTTTGCACTACACAACCACATGCGACCTGACCGACTCCGGAGGGACCAGTCGCCTTGGATAGAGGTAAGTAAGCTTCGTCCAAATTCCTTCCGGTCGACTGGCCGTAGTATAACGCTCCCCCATATATTCTAGTGTAATTAGAGAGATTCCACGTGGCCACATTGAGGCCCGACCTACGTTTGCTCGGGAAGTCTTCTGCTCATGGGCCCCAGGGGATTGGATCCTTTAAGGGAGCAACCGTAGGCCGTAACACCGACCTTAGAGTTTATTGTGGGCTAGGATAATAAAGCGACAAAAGAGCAAAAGAACGTACACAGATGTGCAGTTTTTACTAATTTTTGCACTTAAAAAGTACTTTTTATTATTTAATTGTTGTTGTTATTGAGTGGGTGTAATGCAATATAGAGTGTATCATTGTATGGAAGACAAGCTAAACCAACCAAAGCCGATGATGATTTCAACAATTTAGGGAGGTGGTCATTAAATCGAGTGACATTACATGGACTTTGCACTGGTATTATTTTCTTTATAATTTCTTGTTTATTTTGTTCTAGAAAAATTTCTTTTGCTTATTTGGTTCGAAAAATATATTGTCAATTCATTCAATAAATACCACTTTTTTTTAAAGCATAGGGGGCAAACGAGCATGCGGCTCACCTGATGGTAAGTGACTACCGCCGCCCATGAACAACCGCAACACCAGGGGAATTGCAGATGCGTTGCCGGCCTTTTAGAAAGGTGTAAGCTCTTTTCTTGAAGGTTCCTAAGTCGTATCGGTTCGGAAAATTCGCTGGTGGTAATTGATTCCACAAAGAAGTTGTGCGAGGGAAAAACTTCTAAATCGCACAGTGGTTGACCGCCAATCATCCAGATGGTATGGATGGTAACGCGAGTTTTGTTGCGATGTGCGATGGTGAAATTGAGCGGCTGGAATTAGTCCGAACAATTCCTCAGAGCACTCCCCGTGATAGATGCGATAAAATACGCAAAGAGATGCAACATCTCTACGCAGTGCCAGTGTATCGAGCCGATCGGAAAGAACTCGGTCGTCGACGATTCGAATCGCTCTGCGTTGGATGCGGGCAAGTGGAAGGAGCTGGCACTGGGGTGCCCCGGTCCAGAGATGAGAACAGTATTCCATGTGGGGCCGAACTTGCGCTTTGTAAAGTTGCAAGCGATGTGCCGGCATGAAATACTGTCTCGCTCTGCTAAGCACGCCAAGCTTTTTAGAGGCCAATTTGGCCTTCCCTTCCAAGTGACCACAAAACTGCACGCTATTCGATATGTCGACGCCAAGGATTCCGATACTGGCTGAGGCAGCAAGGGGAGTGCCTTGAAACTGAGGAGATACGACAAAGGGGTTCTTTTTAGCGGTAAACGCGCAAACTTGTGTCTTCTGGGGATTGAATTGGACTAGATTTAGTCGGCCCCAATCCGAGACTTTGTTAAGCAAAAACTCGACTTCAGACACAAGTTTATCCCGGTACTCGGCGACGTTTTCCCGAGAAATATTTTCATTTCTATGCAGTATTTCTCCAACACTGACATAAATAATTGTCGACCTGTAACTTTATTACCTGTGTCAGCTAAAATATATGAAGCGGCTATGACAAAAGCTCTTTGTTCATTTTATGAGAAATTTAAAATTTTACATGAAAACGAAAATGGCTTTAGAAAACCTCTCTACTCTACCACCTTAACAATTTATAAATATGTAAAAAACATCCCAGATGAAATTGAAAATAAATAATTCGCAGTAGGACACTTGCTTAATATATGTAAAGCCTATGACAGAGTCTGTTATAGAACTCTATTGGATCAAATATATCAAACAGGAATTAGGGGAGTAGTTCACAATAGGTTCAAATTCGAACTTGATAACCGCTTCCAATTTGTATAAATTGAAAATACAGTATTTTTCAAATTACTCATTTTAGATCGGATGCAACTGTCATTACTGGTGCTATGATACAAAGTAGCGTTTTGGGATGCCTTTTGTTTCTTGTTTACATAAATAATCTCACAAACATACTGGACAATCTATATGTGCTCTTTGCCGATGACATCTCTATCTTAATCTTGCACTAAGATTTAGGTACAAAATCAGACTATACATTAGGTAAAATTACCAACTGGCTAGAATAGTGTACATAAACCCCTAGTGGTTTATATGCTAGTATTGTACTGGATAATGTAACTTAATTATGCTTAATAAAATAAATTAAAAAATAAATTATATAATTTACAACCTAACCTTAATAAAACTAAATATTTATAAGTTCAACAATCATTTATCTTTCTGATAATGTGCTTTTTATATAATATATACAAATAAATAAAATTGAAGTGTCTGTTTGTAATGTCAAAATTACAGTTTTTTACGTGAAAGTAAATACAGTACTTATAACTAAAATTCAATTTTTTAAATTGTTGTCTGTCTGTCTGTCTGTCTATTTGTTCTGGCTAACCTCAGAAACGGCTGGACCGATTTTGACAGGACTTTCACTGACAGACAGGTAATGTTATAAGGAGTAACTTAGGCTACTTTTATTTTAGAAAAAGAATTAGGGTTCCGTGCAAAAACATAAAAACCCTAACACACGAGCGAAGTCGCGGGGAACAGCTACTTTATTTATATAATATGATTGCTAGATACGATTTTATGCTACAAAACATTGTAATCTTAATTTTTAGGCCCTAACAGAACATATCTGCGAGCTTCGTGATTAAGGCATGCAAAATTCAATTTAAACCCTTCCAAAAAACTGCTTTAAAAATATCTTATGTCGGGTTTACACGCTTGCCAAGTCTCGGCAAGCATCCACAAGCACAAGTGTGTAAAGAGGGCGTTTGACTTGGCTTGCGTGAGCTTGTGGACGCTTGTCCCCGATCCGGTTTAGGGTCGGTTTTTGGACACAGATCAAAGGGCGCTTGCGGTAAGCGCTTGCAACGCATTCACACGTTGGTGCATGTTTAGTAGAAATAGTAATTTCGCGACGAGTGCATGTTTAGTTCTTAGTTTAAAATGAGTGGCTGCTGGAACGAAGACAGTTTATCGTTTCTGGAATATTACCAGAGCGAATCGTCTATTTGCAACCCCAAAGACGATAATCATAAAAATAAAAAGAAAGTTGCAGATGCTTGGAGTCGTCTTGCCGAGTTAATGGGAAAGCCAGTAAAAGAAGTAAAAGCCAAATAATTCCTTGTTTTTGTATTACTTTGCTTGTATTTCAAATAAAAGTATGTTAAACCAAACGCAATAGCCGCCACAAGTTCGGTGTCCGCCATGCTTGGGTGTACGTAGCACACTGACACATTCACAAGCATGAAAACGACTTCCAAACATCAAACGAGATTTGTGGACGCTTGGGGCTTGAAGACGTTTGCCAAGGCTTGGCAAGCATGGAAAGGCACCATTATAGTTATTTAAAAACACAACTAGAAACTGTTAACTCTGCTACTTTGTTAGGATACACATATGAGTTTGATACAGCACATACAAAAAGTTGTAAAAGAATATCCTCTTTTATTTACGTGGGACAGACTTTAAGACTACCCTTGCGGCTTACTATGCACATGCTCATTCTGTACTATACTTTGGCAGCATCTTGTGGGTAAAAGCTTGTGATGTAAACAAATTATTTATATTACAAAAGGAGTGTATACAAGTAATAACGAATTTATATAAAATGATATCATGTAAACTTAACTTCATTGAACATAAAATACTAACACTTACGTCTATCTACTGACCTAAGAAGAACTAAAATAAATAATATTTTATTTAAGCTAAGGATACTTACCCTTTTCCAAAGTTTCGAATAGCCCCTAGTTATGTTAATTTGTCAATTGTCAATGTCATAGATTACTGTATATATTATGTCAATGTCAATACGAAACAGTGTCGCCAAGTCTAGACCGTTCCGAATCGCCAAAATAAAAGTAGCCTAAATTCACCTATTATTTGTTCTGTAATGACGCCTAAAACGCCTTCTAAATTATCAGTTAGCCTATAAAGGCTATTTTTAAACGTAAATCCCTTATTTATAATTTTAAGCACTTTATCATAAACGTGAAAGAAAAGATCAACATTATGTACTTATATGTATTTTATCTGTTTATCATTATTAATATTTCAGAAATTGAAACGAAATACTGTATTTACTATTAAACAGATTAACGGAGTATAATATATATTATATAAGAAAGACCTTTATTTCGTCTTTTAGATAGAGTAGATTTCTTAGGTCATTGATACCTTCAAATCTAGTCTTCTTTGATATTTCTCTGTGTCAAAAACATGTTTCATTCCACGCATTTTTAATTATATACCCTAAGAGACTTACTAAATAAGAGAGCGAACTATATAGCCGAAAAGCTCCCTTGTTTTTTCCGAAGTAGTCTAAATGGCGACCAGTCACCAATCGCAAATTTGCTCTTCGAGAAACCTACAAGGCGAAAAATCGCCTAACTTGGCAGCACTGATACATAATATCAAAAGTATGGATGGATCAACTCGAGTTTCCAACTAAAAAAGAGTTTATTTATTTTATAACGTCCTACTTTGTCAAACTTGTGTAGCCAAAGAAATTTATATGCAAAGCCGCGCTGAAAAAAAAACTACGTAATTCTAATCTCCCGCCATTTTGGCAGTTTACTGTACGTACTTATGTAAAGTTTTGTTTACTTTATTTTGTGACTCGGCTATAACTTTTTTGACTGATTCTATTATTATATTCGTTAACTTTGACAAGTTATACATATAGGAATATCATAAACAATAGTATCCCATATTACTATTTATGATATTGTTGCGCGCCACTATTAATGTCTTGTACATGGCAACACTAGTTACTACTAGCGCCCTCTAGTGTCGAGTAGCAGAACTAGGAGAGTCAAGATCCTTCTAGAAATTTCGGGACCGATATGTACTCGAACATTCTAGATGTCGCTACAGTAGAAGGTTCTGGAAACTATCTGAGGCCCTATATAAGGCCGGTATAGACCACGACCAAATCAGTATTGAACTGGCGATATAAGCGAATACTTCGAAGGGATATAACTGCGAACTAAAATGATCAGTAGTACAATTGTGTTTTATTATTAGTGTGTTTTAAGCTGTAATTAGTGTTCCGTAATTAAAGTGTCAATTTTGGTAATTAAAGCAAATCGGCAGTTTTTAATTGTCTCGAACCCCAAGCTCGTAACAATTGGTGTCAGAAGTGGGATCAAGTCATGCCAATTTTACCAAAGGACGACATGGAGGGTATCCGCACCGGAAGTCAACGCCAGCTGGAGACGGACCAGAGACGATTTGGTAATGCAACGCCGCAAACGTCGGAGGGCCAACTGCTGACCACATAGGCCGGCCCTTCAGCAGCTCCTGCATCTGCAGCACCTGACTTAGGTGCTCTGATGATGATGCTGCAGAAACAGGCTCGCCGACAGGAGGAACAGGCCCGCTGACAGGAGGAACAGGCCCACCGACAGGAGGAACAGGCCCGTCAGTTGGAAGAGCAGCTGCAGCACGACATGGAGGATCAGGCCCAACAACAGCAGGAACAGGCCCGCCAACCGGAGGAACAGGGCCGTCGGTTGGAAGAGCAGCTCAAACGCGATAAGGAAGAGCAGATACTTCTCATGAAGGACCTTCACGCTACCTTCGGGAAAGTAATAAGGGAGGTGAAGGATAAGGCTGCTCAATATGACAACCGCCTGTCGGAAGCTGAAACCCGAATCGACCAAGTGTACGATCGGGTTGACAACGTGATGGCTGACGTGAAGAAAACGCTGGATGACCTCAAACTTGGGGATGGAGTTACAGCTCCCGTGGTAGCTAGAACACCTTCGCTACGTGGATTCAAAGTGCCGCCGTGCGACGGGACTTCTTCCTGGTCGGCCTACAAAATCCAACTCAAGGCTGTCATGAAGGCGAACGGCTGGAATAATAGTCAGGCCATGACTGCTCTCACCCTAGGCCTGCGCGACCAGGCCTTAACTGTTGTGGAAGCTCTCGGTAAAGAAGTGACTTACGAGCAGTTCCTTGAGGCATTGGAGGCGAGATATGGCGACGCTCACCTGGAACACGTCTTTCGTGCACAGCTCAAAGATCGCGTAGAACGCAGTAACGAAAACCTGCAGCAGTGGGCCCTTGAGGTGGAGAAGCTGGTTCGAAGAGCATACCAGTCTGTACCTGCGCTCATTGTAGGGAACCTAGTGCAGACATTCATCGAAAGCATCCGTGAACTTGAAGTCAGAGCTGCTGTAAGGCTCGGGAATCACGAGACGCTTAAGGATGCCTTGATCCATGCACTGGAGGTGGAAGCTGTGCGGCAGGATCATCGTTCCCATCGCGTCAGGGAGGTTGCAGCAGCTACAGTTCGAGACCGCAATAAAGGCTAGAGCCCTAGGTGCTACGGCTGTGGGGAAAGGGGCCATCTTCGATCCAGCTGCCCTAAGCGAACTGTAGAAAGGGAAGGTGATCGATCTCGAGAGGGTAGTGCAGCTAATAGCACCGCCCAGCAGCAGCAGGGAAACGAGTAAAACCCAGGACTGCGGGGCGGGTGCTGGCTGATGTTAAAAGAGCCCCAAGGATTTCGTTCTCACAAACCCATGATGGGAACAGCCTAATCATCGCGGGCGAGGTCAACGGAACGCCGTGTAAACTGACCATAGACACTGGAGCCTCTCGCACGGTTGTCAGTTCCCAACTTATAAGTCAGTTCCTTGGGGACTCCGCATACAACCGAAAACGCATTAATTTGGTGAGAGCCACCGGTCAGCGCATACCCGTCCGTGGAGAGAAGGAGATGGAGTTGAAGCTAGGCAACATGATTTACCTGCATAATGTCATTGTGGCTGATATAATGGACGACTGCATCCTGGGCCTAGACTTTATGAGGAAGAATTGTTGTGAGATCGACGTTAAGCAAGGTGTTTTGAAATGTCGACAAGAGGAACTTTTCGTGGAAGGGGCGTTACCAAGGAATGTGTACAGCCTTAAGAAGATTGTTCTTCCGACGAGATCGGAAACGATTGTACCGGTTAGACTTCCTCGGAATTCTGGGAAAACTCTTCGTTGTGTACTCGTGGAAAGGGTAGAGAATGACCTTCCATGGATAGTGGCTCGAACCTTGGTCAGAACCACCGACATCTCAGGAGTACGTGTGTTGAACCTTTGTGATCAGGAACAGATTATAGAAAAAGGCACATCGGTTGGTACTAGTGAGGATGTGGATTGGTTGCGTCGGTGCCAATATCTATCGACTGGGACGCCCAGCAAGTATGGACAAACGAGAGTGATCACACTTATAGAAGACTGTCACAGCGTTCTCTCCCCGAATGAAATGGTCAAGGCGAAGAAGTTGTTACTCAAGTACGCTGATGTTTTCTCGTCAAACGAAGCTGACATAGGAAAGACTGGCTTAGTTCAACACAAAATAAACACAGGAGAAGAATTGCCTATCCGTCAGCGGCCAAGAAGATTGCCTGTAGCACGTGAAAAGGAAGTGGAAACCATGATTGAGGGAATGGTGAAGGATGGTGTTATTGAACCTTCATCTAGTCCGTGGTGTTCAGCTGTGGTGCAGGTAAAGAAGAAGGACGGCAGCATGCGGTTTTGTGTTGACTACCGCCGTCTGAACGACGTTACGAAGAAAGACAGCTATCCCTTGCCAAGAATTGATAACACGCTGGACATGCTTACAGGTGTAAAGTGGTTTAGTACGCTGGAACTGAAAAGTGGCTACTGGCAAGTTGAAATTGACCCTAAGGACAAGGAGAAAACTTCATTCTCCACATGAAAGGGTCTGTGGCAATTTAAAGTTATGCCGTTTGGATTGTGCAATGTTCCAGCAACGTTTGAAACGGGCTGATTGGCGATGCCTGTCTGGTTTTCTTGGATGACATCATCATCGTAGGTCGTACGTTTGAGGAACATCTTCAAAACCTGGAACGCGTGCTCATGAAGGTCCAGAATGCCAACCTCAAGTTGAGTCCGAAGAAATGCTCACAATTCAAACGGCAAGTTAGCTTTTTGGGGTATGTAGTGTCGCAAGAAGTATGTAGGAAGTAGTTTGGGCTATGTAGTGGTATCCGCACGGATCCAGAGAAAATTGCCGTTGTCAAGGATTGGCCGGTTCCAAAAGACAAGACACAGGTTAGAGCATTTTTGGGTTTGTGCTCCTATTATCGGCGATTTGTGAAGACTTTGCAGATACAGCCAAACTGCATAAGCTAACCGAGGAGAAGCAACATTTCTGCTGGAATGAAAGTTGCGATACCGCATTCCAGGAGCTCAAAGACCGTCTGTGCAAAACACCTATTTTGGAGTACCCTGATGCGGGCAAGGAATTTATAGTTGACACAGACGCAAGTGATACAGGACTCGGCGGTGTATTGTCTCAACAGAATGGTGATCAAGAGGTTGTGATAGCGTACTTTAGCAAGTCGTTGTCAAAGCCGGAAAGGAACTATTGTGTCACAAGACGGGAATTGCTTGTTGTGGTAAAGTCTTTGTAGCATTTCAGCAAATATTTTCTGGGGCGGAAATTTCACTTACGAACTGACCATCCTGCACTGAAATGGCTATTGCAGTTCAAAACTCCGGAAGGACAAGTTGCGAGATGGATTGAACTACTGCAGGAATACGACTTTGTGATCGAACATCGCAACGGGACATCTCATGGCAATGCAGATGCATTGTCAAGAAGACCTTCCCCTGAAGATTGCAAACATTGTACTAGGCAAGAGGGTAAGGAAGTGTTATCTATGAGGATGCTCAGGACAGACTAGCTCAGCAATGAGTGGAAGGACAGCCTACAACATGCACAGCAGGAAGATTCGTACATCAAGC